TCCTCCCCCCCATCCTCCACCTCCTCCCCCCCATCCTCCACCTCCTCCCCCTCATCCTCCACCTCCTCCCCCCCATCCTCCACCTCCTCCCCCCCATCCTCCACCTCCTCCCCCCCATCCTCTACCTCCTGGGACAAGTGGACCATCCCCCTTAGTCCTCCACCGCAATCGCCACGCCATTTCCCCCCGACATTGTACACCACCGCACATGCCGCCGCCGACCCCCCGGACGCCGGGCTCCCACGGGAACCACCGCCTTCCGCCGCAACCCCTCCCTCCCCACCCCCCGGCTCTAAAGACGGCAGTGCCGGTGGCTATCAAACACCCGTGCCGCCGCAGCCGACGTCACAAAACGATGACGGTACGTACGAATGAGTTCGTAATCTGTGTCGAACGGTATGCATGAAATTCGATGTCGAGCGGTACGTAAAACCGTAGGTGGTTGTCGTACTAGTCCTCTGGCCTTGTCAGGTATCCGTCAGCTGCAGTATGCGTATGCGTGTAACTGCATCTGTATGTCTGTATGTATGTCTGTATGTATGTCTGTATGTATGTCTGTATGTATGTCTGTATGTATGTCTGTATGTATGTCTGTATGTATGTCTGTATGTCTTGAGATGGGTTGCGGGGGGGGAAGAGTGGCTGGTTGTGTATGTGTGTGTATGTGTGTGTTGTTGTCCTATTCCGGCTTCCGCGGGTTGCCGCCGCTGCCATCATCTAATTAGCCGTTCGTCAATGTACCCTTTTAGTTCAACCCGCCGGCCCACTGGATGGATAGATGGATAGATGCCCGTCGCCAAACGTTGTTGCTTGGTTCTCCCTCCCTCTCTGTCTCCCTCTCCTCTCTGTCTCCCTCTCTCTCTGTCTCCCTCCCTCTCTGTCTCCGTCCCTCTCTCCCTCACCAGCTGCACATGCTGCTGCTGCTGCTGCTGCTGCTGCTGCTGTCGTACCAGATAACAACAAGACGTATGTTGGTTGCTACGTGGACTCTTTGAAGCGCGCATTGCCGGACATGTATTTCGTCTCCAGTACCAATATGACCCTGGATCTTTGCCGCAGCCTGGCGCTTGAAAAAGGTACGTTGTTACACCGTACATTCGTACGTACGAGGCTACATCTGTACATGTACGCTTCCCGGTTCCGCAGTCGTTCGGTTCAGACGGCTCCAGGAGAAGGAATGGCCGCGCGGTCGCTGGACCGGCTCGCTCTACCTGCCTCCTCTGCCTCCTCTGCCGCCCTTTCAGATTTGCCATACTTTGGTCTGGAAGCTGGCCAGGAGTGTTTTGGTGGGATCGACATTTTGCGCGTCTTGGTACGACAGCAAAGCACCAGCTGCGATATGCCCTGTGCGGGAAACGCTAGGCAGGTTTGTGGCGGCGTCCTGGCGCTCAGCGTGTACGCCACGCAGCCGCAGTCACCACCTCCGCCGCCGCCGCCGCCGTTGTATCCACACGCGATGATCAGCCACGGTGAGCAAATCTCACCACACTCACGCCTAGCCTCACGCCTAGTCTTATCTCAAGGGGGGGAGGGTGTACGGTATGTTATTTGTTAGCTGTCACCAGAGACCCTAGTGGTTCACCAGCCATATTCAGGACAGGGTTACCGGTCTCGATACAATGGTTGTATCACGGCTGTCGGAAAAAGTACCAGTCGGCGGATGTTAGCAACCCCGTGATGGGCCCTACAGGATACAGCCATATCAGGAAACCCTAGCCGCGGGGGAGCCACACACGCACGGAACCGCCATTGGGGGTACGGGAGCCGTTTCCTAGGTTTCGGGGCCGACAAGGAGAGGGAACCGGCTTGATGAAATATTACGATATACAGTTGTTGCTGTGTGTCCTGTTTAGGCTCTCCTGCGCATGTAGAGGAGCCAAGTGCGGCGGTAGCAGCAGCGGCCGCAACCCGCGACGTTAGCAGCGATGGAAAGCGGAAGCGGTGCGCTTCAATAAGGATTGCAGTTCCCATCGACAAATAGATATGAGTTCATCAAGAAGTCAGAAGAGCGAAGAGCCTTCAGTTACCGAGGCTTAAAGGCAGTTTTGAAAAATAATTGGATTTACATCTCAGGCGTGCTTAGCTGGTTAACTGACTGACGCCTTGTCTGTGGTTTACGACTCAATGGCCCCGCTCCCGTTCGGTTTGTGACCACTCCTCCCCCACAGATCTGGTGGGCTGTTATTCTGATGATGAAACGTACCGGGTTTTGCCGTACTTGCTGGATGTGTCGTACACCATGATGAATATGGAGTACTGCCGGCAAAAGGCTTTAGCTGAAGGTACGGGAAGGCTATATCATATTGAGTAATGACTGTTGTATATTTTGTGACTGGATTTAGTGTTGCAACCGTACAACCATGCAGGGCTTACTTTGTACGGCATGGAATCGGGTCGTGAATGCTGGGCTGGGCTTGACGCCGCGCGCGCAAGGTCCCTCGGCCCGAGCTCCGATTGCAACACGCCATGCACCGGCAGCAGCAGCAGCAGCAGCGATGCGATGTGCGGAGGGGATGGAGCCATCCTCATTTTCGCCTTGGCGCCGTACGTTTGGCCGCCATCGATGCTGCCGCTTCCGATCTACAATGTCCCGATCTACAACTCACCGCCACCGGTGTACGGGCCGTACTCGCCAAACCCGGCTTATCCGCCAAACCCGGCTTATCCGCCAAACCCGGCTTATCCGCCGAACCCGTCGCACCCGTCGTACCCGCCTTCACCGCCCTTGGGTGAGTAGTTGTATGTTTGTCTACCTGTCAACCTTCTGCTTATTAGGTTTTTGCTTTGTTTTTTTTGATGGCTCCCTTGGGGCGGTTTGTACGGCAGTAGGCTGGGATGTGATGATTAAGTTTTCCGGTTCGCTTTTGCTTTGGTTCGCACACTTGTAACGCCGCCCATAACAATAATAGTAACGCGCAAGTAACACCGCACACGCGGAAAACACACACGTTTCCAACGGACTCGCGTCCTACTTGGCCCTCGCTACCCCTGCAGTTGAGGTGGACAACCTGCTACCTGAGCGGCTCCGCCCGGGTGCCGCGTACTTTGACGCTTCCTTCGGCGTGTCGGTTTACTCAGATCCGTACTACGAGGACGACATCGCAATGGCCTGGGAGGAAGTTGAGATTCCGCAACGTGCGTCACAGGGCAACACGTTTTTGCTCCAGGGAGACTGCAGCTTGACGTCGCCACCGGCGACGTCGTCCGGCGAGTCCGCTGCAATTCGATTTGGCGGGTCGTCTTGTTTTGGGGTTTTTGTTAATGGGTTGTTGCCTAATTGGGACACGTCGCCCACCAGCGCCTTCTCCATCGTTTGGATTGGCCGTTTTGATAACAGCAAGCGCGGCACGGAGGAGCAAACATACGTCACGTTTAGTCGAACAGGAGTTGACTACGACCGTGAGCTGTACTGGACGGACGAGCAAGCGTTCATCTACTCGTACGCCAAGGGCTTTAGCTTTGACCTGGTCACACCCAGACCAGCCGCGGAACAGTGGACGATGCAGGTGCTCTCCCGCCGTCCAGACGGGAAGGGCGACGTGGTGATGTCGTACTCGTCGTACAACATGTCGGGCGTGATGAGCACTTGGACGCTACCTGGCGGCGCGTGTGAGGTGGCGTCTGATCACCTCGTGATTGGCAAGGATTTTCGCGACGGAAACAAGTTCTTTGGGGGAGATTTGGCGATCTTTCTGGTGTACAACAGATTCTTGGACGAGGGGGAGCTTCAAGGGCTGGTTGAGTTTTATGCTCCGCGCTTTGCCTGGCCCACGAACCCTAAGTAGCCCGCGGCCCACGTTGTTGGGTCCATTACCGGAATGATCTTCCGGTTAGTAATAATGGTGACAGGGGGCTGTACACCGGAGGCGGAGATGCTGAGAATTGCCGAGTTGCCAAATTTAGCAACCTGTTTGGAGGATGACGGTCCTTGCTTCGGATCTTTGGTGATCTTCTAAATACCAAATGCTCTGAAGCAAGGGCCGTGGGTTTTGCAGCAGCGTTTTGGATTATGATTGATACTCATGTAGACTCCTACAAACTGTTTGTGAGCGATGCAGGGTGATGCGAGATCGTGATGCAGGATGCGGGATAATAAACGGTTTCGGAAACCGGAAACATCCCGAGAGCCGCGACGGCGCGAGAATGGAGGGGTTGGGGAAATACTCAATGCTTTTAGTATGCAGCATCACCATCCTGCTCTGGGCTCCAAAGTACTTGGGCTTTAGAGCTACGGTGCCCTGCCAGGTTGTACGTTGACTTGACCCGTAGTACGTTGATGGTCCGAGGTGGGCCTGGGATAAGTTGGACAGAAGTGTCGTACGTTTCGTGATGGAGAAATTCATTGATTAAGTGTTCTATTATTTGGAAGGGCGTTTCCATGCGGTGGACCACGGTGCATTTAAGAGAGTGTGTGTGTGTCGGGTTTTTGTACGGAAACACACAAAACACAGACACGCGTGCGTGTGTGAGTACTAGGTTCTCATCTGTTTGTCTGTCTGTCTATCGCGGTGTGCCGAAGAGGAGAGCACTGTATGTGCTTGCCTTGACCGGAGCCGTAGGGCGGAGGGGGCAGGGTGTTGGGGGAGTTTACCTTGATAATGGGGAAAGTCTGTGGGAAGGAAATTGACAACCGCAGGAAGGGGCGCTCAGGGCAGGTTCGTACATCATTGCACGGCAGCAGCAGTGTTAAAGTACCGCCTGTGGGCCACGGAAGGAAATAGGTGGTGTGACTGCAGTTCTAGAACCTCGTTATTCTTTTGCTCATGTCGTGACGTCCGCTGACCAGGGCCAAGCTTGATGCTGAGACCTTTTTGGACACAACAGCTGTAACAATGAACATGAATAACAGTGAATGAAAATGGATCAGTGGAACTAATTTAGGGATTGATTGACTGGGGAGTTCATTATTACTACATACCACCCTGTATGCTAGCGGAGGTGCCGGCGGCGGAACTTTCTTACTAGTACAGCGTATGACAGCTTGCAAGGGAGGCCGTCATGCTCGGGAACGACTGCAGCGTATTACGACGCGATGCTGTGTTTCCCGGACGTTCCTGAACGCGCCTGTGCGTGAGCTCGCTAACATCAGTTAAGGCACGAGGACGCCAACCCATTGACATCGAACCATTTGGTGCATGAATGACTTTGGATCAGAACTCGCTGTATCGTAGGAGGCAATGGATTTTTTACGGATTTTTTTTGCTGCACTTAAATGTGCAGCAAAGCAATTTGTGGCCTACCTTGCGGTAGCCACCGTTGAATCGTTGAATCCACAAAGATTCTGATTCTTTTTGTTTGTTTCCGTGCTGTGATACGCCAAGGTAAAACCTTGCAGCTTCGCGATGTTAGTCCGTCGTGGCAACAGCTGCGGACCTAGTTTGGGACATGGCTTGAAAGAGATCCAGCGCAATGCCGATAGCCTTGCCGGATGTCTTTTTATAGCGTTTAGCCACGGACATTGGGCGACGTCCAGTCGGCAGATGCCTTAGCCCCGGCCAACAAATATATCTTGGAAATCCGGTCGTCAAGGAAGTGAACGGAGGACAGCGCTTTCACGGTAAGGGAGGCGATCGTTGTTTCCGAGGCCGGGGTCGCGGAGTCCCAAAGCATCCAAAAAGGATTAAATTGAAAGGTTCTGCATATTCAAGTTAAAGCGTGACCGTTTATGCTTTAAACTGTTATGGTGGTGTTATGTACGCACCGAACACATGGACAGCTGTTTGGAACAGAAGTCAAAAGTTTCCATTCCACTGTCAAAATTTGTTATCGTGAAGTTAAAATTGGAATCTCAGCAACTAAATCCTGAATCCTAGCTGGTCGACAGGTCGACACCGTCATGTAAAGTACGACAAAGAGTTTGGAATATGGACTGGCCAGGTATAAACTTGCCAGGAATGAGGTTTTTTGAATACCTTCGTATGTTGAAGCATCTTTCAATTTTGCTTTAACTTGCACTGGCCGCGGCATCTGTCCTTTGGCGACCAAGCGCACTGCGGGCTGCTTGCTGTCGGGTGCCGCTATGGTGCCGACTTCCCAGCGACACTCTTTACATCTACTAGGAGTAGTCCTTGTGATATCAATTTCTGGATCTAGCGCCGCACGATCCATTAAGCAACTCGGTGAGCTTATGTTGCAGGCGGCGTATTCAAATTTTAACAGCGCAGGCCAATTCCCGTGCTCCGGCTCAGACAACCTATAAATTTCCTAATAATACTCAACTACCTACTGGTGATAATCGTAGCAGCAATCTTTGACGTCGGCGTCCTTCGCTGTCGGAGTCGTTCCGATGTTCAGCTGACAGCCAACTCCAGCATTTGCTTCTATGTCCGTTATTTGCTAAGAGTCACTTAGCTAGATTCAATTACTTTCGCAACCTGAAATAACCGTTTTCGGATTCTACTTTGGAATTCATCGTCCATACCCTAACGAACCGCGTCTGCCGTTTTTGCATTGCTGTTGAAGGACCTTATTTCAATGGCCCAGTTCCATCCCCGTCCGCCGACCAAGGTATGCAACAGTCGTAGACGGAAGCTGTCCATCTGTTCGGCGGACCTTTTCCCGGACAGAAGATACAGCAGATATAAGTTTCTCTGTGCACTTAGGAAGCCATGAAAACTCGCAGCCTGCAACCGTGCAGCTGCCGTCTATCCATACTACCTCGCTATCTATCTACCTATCTATCAAAGCATTGGTAGCTACCTGCCCATCTATCTCCTTTCCACACTTCCGAGGAAAATTCAACTCTGACTCCTCCAACATTCCTGCCACTTCCCGTGCCCCCGCAGGAAGTCCTTTCCTGGGCTGTTACAACGACTACCAGAACGACGGGCTGCCGTATAATTTCGAAATCTCGCTCACCAACATGACAGTTGACCGTTGCAGTCGCATAGCACAGCTGAACGGTGAGTAAATGCATGCCGTACACTCAAAACAGGTCGCCCTGCGGAAAGGAGGAAACAGGCCAACCAATCTCAACCAACCTTAACCACCTATCCGCTGTGTCGCGACCAATGCAACGCTGCGGTGTGCCGCTCACGTTTAGGCATTCCGTTCTTCGGACTGAAGGCCGGTCGGGGCTGCTACGCCGGGTACGACATTCAACGTGTCCTAAGTAACGGCTACAGCGATCAGTGCACCTCACCCTGCACGGGCAACCAGGGCCAGATCTGCGGCGGCGAGTGGGCGCTGTCGTTGTACGCCACGCCGCCGTTGCCGCGACCGTCACCACCACCGCCGTACATTTCTTCAGGTGCGCCGTACCTGTGTAAGGGGTACTGCTGTCTAACGGCCAGACCGGCTGACTGTCGGAAAGCTGCAAGACTAGCGGTACTGGGGTAACCGAGTACCGCTGGTGCGGGAAAGGGGACTCCCCCTCCCCCTGAGAGGGATTTGGGGGATCTGTCGGTCGCCGTACTTCCCGTCAGTGCACACACCTGCGAGTCTGTCTGTATGTGTGCCGGTCGGGCGCCGTACCTGTACAGGTTGCTTTGTCGGGTGTTTTCGAGACCGCGTCGACATGCGGACCCTTCCAAACATGTACGTCGAGTCGCCCGACATGACCGTTGACCGTTGCCGTCAGTTGGCACGGTCGCAAGGTGCGTTGTGTTTCATTTGGGAGAGTTCCCAGTGGGGGGTAAGCTGGGGGGTTGTTAAGGGGGGAGGGGCAAACCGGGGGACAGCGCTGGCGAGTGCTGTTTGGGTTAGAAAATACAAATGAATGTTTGTTTGCAGCTCCGAAACCCACCCGTGATCCCACCCGTGATCTCCAATGTCGGGGGGGTAAACCCCGTCGTACAGGTCATCCGTACTTTGGTGTGGAAGCAGGAACGCAGTGCTTCGCCGGCTACGACCTCTACATGGCGTACTACGTCAACGGTCGTGGTGCCGCCTGCGACTGGCAGTGCGGGGGGGACGCCTCCCAGATCTGCGGGGGCGATCTGGCGATCAGTGTGTATCACACGATCGAGCCACGACCGCCACCGCGGCCACCAGCACCGCCGCCGTCCCTACGCAAGAGTGAGTTTGCATGTTCGTATGTATGTATAGTGGGAAGAACGGACGTCTCAATCCAGGTGTTCGATTTTCGTTTTTATTTCGCAATCCGTCTTCATGCTTCGTCGTACCTGTTCTCAGGTGATCTCTTGGGATGCTACCGCGACTCCGAAACTTTCCGGGCCCTGCCGTACCGCCTGAGTGTATCGGAAAACATGACGGTTGCCGAATGCCAAAGTGCCGCGAAGCTGCAAGGTGAGCACTGCGTGAGGCATACTACTAAAGAAGTTTGTTATCATTATCCTGGTTATTATTTTCTTATTCTTATCCTTGTTTGTAATATTATTTTATGTTGTTGTTATTATTATCCTGTTTCGCCAGACCCCTACGTCAGCCGTCAGCATCACCCTCACCGTGATGCCGACAACTCGCCTTAGCGCGACACCTCAAATACCTCTTGCCTCTCCATCCCCTTTGCCAATGCCGATCCTCCCACACACGATACACACTGTCTTTGCTCCACCCTCCCCTCCCAAACCCCTCCCAAACCCCTCCCAAACCCCCAATTTGTGCCCTTTCCTAATGATTAAATGGTCTCCTCTCACCTCAAAACCCCTACGCGTACGTATGTGTCTGCGTGTATGTATTTCATGTGTGTTTCATCCTGTGCGTGTGCACCCCTAGGGTACAGCCTGTACGGCCTGGAGGCGGGTCGTGAGTGCTGGGCCGGGTACGACTCGTACCGTGCCACCAGCTTGGGCCCCAGCATCTCCTGCGACTGGCCCTGCACCGGCGACGATTGCGAGATGTGCGGGGGAGACTGGGCCATTCTGGTCTTCTCCGTTACGGCAGAAATGGACCAACAATCGTCGCCGCCGCCGTTCAGGCCGTACTCGCCGCACTGGCCCGCTTGGCCCCAGGAAGTCCCGTCGTACCCTCCTATTGCGCCGCCGATGGGCCCCGCCTCACCACCCTGGGCGGTTGTGTACGAGCCACGTTGGCCCAACGTACCGCCGCCGTCGCCGCCGCCGCCACCACCACCGGTGTACGGCACACAGCCGCCTAACGGTAAGAAGAGTAAGTAATGCTTTTGTTTTTCGCCCTATCTTTATGCTTTAACATTTGTTTGATTTGCCTTTTTTCCCTTTTCCAAAAAACTTCCCTAATTTTGAGTCGTTTACGTCCCCCAGCTGGGCTGAGGCGAATGATTATATCTTTCTTGGCTTCGGGAGCTTGCATTGTGCATTATACTTAGGGCCTACACTCCCGTACACGTTCGTACAATTCTTACACACCTGTACGCATCAAGATCAGCAGAGCAACCAGGTTGCCTAGCTGGGACGTAACCTGCTGCCGATTTGACCTTATTGTTGTTGTTTTTGTTGCTGCTGCTGTTGCAGCTGCAGCCGACGCGTTCGTATTACCTGAGGGCAAGCGGCCTGAAGTGGCGTACTTCGATGCGAAAGTCGGCGTCTCCGCCTACACCGATGCCGTGTACGAAGATATCGTACTGCAATGGAAGGACGTATTTCTGTCGGAACGTCCGGACAATCAGCTCTATTTCCTCGGCGAGTGCCACACAGCGCCCGCCACGCCGTCCAGTTCGCCCGCCATTCGCTTCGACGGCTGGTCGTGCTGGGCTCGAATGGCGGATCCGTTGCCTAATTGGGACAGCTCCGAAACAGGCGCCTTTACTGCTGTTTGGATCGGTCGCTTCACAGCTCACGACTATTATGGATTCGGGTACAGCGAGCAGGCGTACGCCACGCTTAGCCGTACAGAGAACGACTTTGATCGGGAGCTTTCCTGGACAAGTCAGCGCATTATGGTTTACTCTCACGCGAACGGGATGGCCGCGGACATCTACACCGCCACGCCGCCTTCGGAACAGTGGACGATGCAAGTACTGTCTCGCAGCCCAGATGGGAATGGTGGAGTAACGATATCGTACTTTTGGTACGGCATATCCGGTTACCTCAACAAATGGTCCCTACATGCCGGCGCGAGCAGCATAGACCCCGACAACTTTGCCCTTGGAGCAGACTCCCGGGACAGCGACAAGTTCTTCTCGGGAGATGTTGCTGTTGTAATGTTGTACAACAGGACCTTGAGCGAGGGTGCCGTACGGGGGCTGATTGACTTTTACAGTCCTCGTTTCGGCTGGCCTAATCCGAATGCCTGACACGTCTGACACACAGGTCCGACACGGCACCACCTGGACTGGAGGTGCAGCTGATGTGAGGGCAGCCAACCTGAGTGTGAATGAATACCTTTTTTTATGAATTCAGATTTAGCTTTGTACGACATTCTTTGTGCACAAAACGGCCCCGCCCATGGCACCCAAATACCCTCAAGAGCATGCAGCAGTTGCAAGCTGCTTCAGAGGCCTCAGAGGTTTGAATGAATTTGGGACTGAGATCCCTCCCTTTGAAGCCTTCTCGTTATGGCCACTACTGATTTTTGCTAGGGCTGCGAATGCTAGGGGCTGCACACACACACACACACACACACACACAATTAATCAATCTGGCCTTCTGGCTGCGCTGCGCTGTGTTGCTGATTGATGCTGCAAGCACTGTTGACTCATCAGTTGGGGTTGGACACGTTTTGGTTGGACTAATGATTGCAAAGGCGGCGTTGCGTCATGTGCTCGCGGTTGTGATAATAACCCTAAAACCGTGTCTAAGTAGTTCCCGGGTAATGGCGCCAAAACGCAAAATTTCCGAAACTGTGAGGTAGTACAGCCTGAGGGGGAGGTGCCCGGGGCAGCAGAATTATTTTGTGGTGATGTTCATTAGTGGCGATTAGGGTCCAATAGGGTCAATTACTGCTGCTGCTACTGCTGCTGTTGCTGCTCACAGTACCATTATTGGCTGCGTATAGAGGAGCTTTGTTGATTATGGGAAGTAATGGAACTGCGACTACGAGCGCGAAAATAAATAAGTAGGGCTCTATGGTTTCTTATTAACCTGCTGAGCTGCCGCGCGTGATCCGGGAAGTGAGTGGGCACAAAGTGATGGTGTTTGTGTGTGTGTGTGTGTGTGTGTGTGTGTGCGCGTGTGTGTGTGTGCGCGTGTGCTTGCATGCAACTTGTCTATTTACTTATGTGCTTTATAGAAAGACTGATGGCCACTCGCTGCGTCAAAACGCAAAGCCCCCGCCCGCGCGCACAGCGTATAGAGCAATGTTGTGTCTTCTTGCTGTCATCATTTCTATTACTAGCTGGTAGTGATCGACGACCATCATTATTGTCAGAGCACAAGCCAAGTTGCGTTTCGGGTGCCGACATTATTGGCTATCAATGATTTTTTTCCTTGTAGTGAGCATTGCCTTAATCGTTTTTGTTGACGACGCTTCTCCACGTACCCTAAGACTGCCGTACTCGTCGTCGTACTGTTTGACTCGTTTTACTGACTTTCTGTTGGCTCGTTTATCTATGCGGCATATGGGGAGATCTTTGCTGGTCAGGTCCCCAGCGGTGCTCGGTTTTGACATTTCGGCCGTTGCAAAGTCGGAGAGAGACGAAGCCTTCGTCTCTGTGGCCGGAGGCAAAGGGGATCTTCATCTTTTGCTGGACGGCTTGATGGACGGGGGTGCTGCTGTGGGGGGGGGGACGGGGGGGGGTCGATTGCAGTTTAAAACCCATCTGCCCTGGTTTATTAGCAGCACGTACACTACCGTACGACATGTTTCTATTAGTTAGGATTAGACTTATCCTACCTTGATCAAACTAAATTTCGTATTTGTGGTGTACAGCACATTATTTGCCGTACAAGGCCGTACACCACAAGAGTCATTTTATTGCTCGGGTAGAAGTAGGCTGTAGTACTGTTTATATCCCTTTTCTTATTTATTGACCTCGCAGCACTGCGTGCTTACCTTCCTCTCAGTTTTGGATCCTCCCGCTCCACGCACGTGTGTGTTTTTGCAACCCCGCCGAGCGCCGCCGTACGCGGTACGATGCACATGATACGAAGACGCCTGTGCTGCCATTGCGCGAAAAACGTCGTACAAACTCGATTGCGTGCCGCTGCATGCGCCCGTCGTCACTTTATTTCCCGTTGCTGCTGCCGAGTATTCGTACGCCCCATCTGCTCATTATCTGTCAGCCCCACTATTAACCTTTAGGATTTCGCTTGCCTTACGCAAACGGTTTCTTCTTGTGTAACGTTAAAATTTTTTTATACTAATTTGGGTGTTGATGATGATGATGGTTCAGAGGTGTATTTCTTCGTTCCAAGCTGCTGATTCGGCGATGTGGCCACATAGTGATGTTTACATGTCGCCGGAAAAACATTTTTTGCGTTTTTTCTGCAGCATGATGATAACTATGTATATATGGAGCTATGGAATGGCAGATCCTAACGTTTGAATGCATGAGGCCAGGTCGGTCGGTCGGTCGGTAGTCCCCCTCCCGACACGGCGTCTGATGAGTGGGACGCCTTTCATCATCTCGCATCTCACCTCACCTCACCTCTCTTCAGGCCTACCCTCGCGACTACCCGGGGAAACAGACTCCGAGCAGCCTGGAAGGACAGACAGACAGACAGACTGGCTGATGAGTGTGATAGTGCGTTTTGACATCACATACATGCGGCTAGAACTCACCCAGGACCCACCCGACCCAATACCAGCTACCGCGGTCACCACACTTCGACTTGTGCTGACGTACATACATTCAGCTTTCGCAAACACCTGTCGTAGCTGAGAGCCGCTGAAAAGGCCTCTTGAGATGCTGGCGGAGCGCCTTATTAGCGCATACTTGCAGACGGATATCTGTACCGTACTATGTACTACAGCGACTACATAACCGCAAAATATCATATCAGAGCACATGACGTATTTGTGCGTATTGCAACACATCACTGGCTGCACCGACCGGCAGCACGAAACACATCCCTTTAGAAAACATTTAGATAGAGGAAGCCGGTCTAAGGTATGTCACCCATCCATACGCCGTGTGCGGTGCGTGTGGACAGGTTAGCAGAGCTGTCACCCGGTCAAAGCGAGAGGAGGTTAGAAGAGAGAAAACACAACATTATAGGATACATTTCGTTTTCATTGACTAAACATACGGCCCGGGTGTGACCTGGTGTCATCAACTCTGGCATATCAAGCATCCCGTTATTGCGAGATGTCGTACTGCTACAACTTGGATAAATCCGTCCAACAGCTGCTAATGCTGCTACTTTTTCCGGTTAGTACTGGAGGCTACCCCAACCGAAGCGTGACCCGTAAAACGTTGCAAGGTCGCGGACCTCAGATTCCTCAACAGCCCTGTCGTACAACAGTACGACAGCAACGTCACCGGCAAACGACTTGAGCCCGCTCGGCGGCAGGAGGACGCCGCAGGGGCCCTGACGAAGCCGTTGAGAGCTCATAAGGCCCGCCTGGCTGTACCGAAAGTACTTTTGCGTTACGACGCCGGTGGCCTCATCAGTGCTCTTGGAAAGGACCTCCATCGTCCACTGCTTGCTTGGAAGTGGGGGCAGGCCGCGGCCGGAGGAGGCAGCAGAAGCCTTGTCCTCCACCGCGCATTGCAGCATGCCTTCAAAGCTAAAGGCCTTGGGTCTGGCATCCTCCGCTTGCATCATGACCCACACGGCCGTGAAGTCCGGGCTCCAAAACGCCGCCTCCCAGGCAGGCTCCAGGCTAAGGTAATCGTCCAGGGTCACAGTGCAGGAGGTGCCGTCGAAAGAGACGGCGGCGGGAGCTCCTCCTTGCCGCAGCAGCCTGCAGCGGCCCTCGAGCTGCATGGTGTTGCAGGGCCGGCGCGAGGCAAACACATCAGCCCAGGTGGCGGCAATCTGGGCCTCCTCGTCTCCATTACGCACCGTCACGCCCGACTCCGCGTCAAAATAGGCGACCCCGGGAAGCAGCTCGGGGGGAAGCAGCCAGGGAGCAACTGTTGGGGCATGTGCGTGAGGGAGGGCCCATCGGCAGGGAGTGGAGGAGAGGGGCGTATTGGAGGGGGAGGTAAGGAAGGTATGGAGAGCAGTAGGGAGGGGGTGGCGTGTACAGCCTCGCGCCCAGATGAGCCGGAAAGAGACCGGAAGGGGGAAAGCCGTCTGTTTACGGAATCGGTAGCGAGCTAGCCTGTGGATGTGATACCGGAGTAGAACGTGGTGCGGGTGGGACGGATTTGGAAGGGGCCGGCTCCGTCCTGCTTTCGTTTGCAAGCCGCCCGTTGACATTATGTGTGAGACGGATGGCATGCACATTGAAGGTGGCGAAATCGCGACCGAAAAATGTGCTGAATGATTAGGGCTGCGCCGAGTTACAAAACTCCGGCACGTAACCTGAATCGCATTCCGGTAGGCGATGTCGGGCGGGCCTTAGCCGGTTAGCTTATGTGCGCTTACGTGTACGCCGATCGTACCTCGTACGTACCTGAGGATGTTGCCCCTGACACACCAGCAGATTGGGTCGAAGCCGTCGCAGCGGTCGCGAGGGATGAAGAAGTTTTTGCGGAGTAAGCCGTGCTTTCTCCACGAAGGCTGTGCTTGGGTTGGCCTGCGACTATTTCTCGCTTACGTGAGAGTTGCGTGAGGGTCGCATGCGTCTGTACGTCAAAAACTGTGGCACGGACATTTTAAAGCTTACAAGCCGAAAACGAAGAAGGTCTGTGACCGCACTTCTATTATGTTCTGCTAGCAATTTCGCCTCGCTACAGACAGCGTCGGCAAGGTGTTCACCTGTAAAGATCGCCGACCTTGCAGCATCAGAAGAATGATAAAAACAGGTTGAAAACATTCCCAGTAGAAGTAAGCTTGATTGCATGGTTTATCTGGCGAAGGGAGCTAGGCTAGCGGTCGTGATACCAGCGGTGATACCGGAAGATACTACAAGATTTGGAGATAAGATGAATTAATTTCTCCCTTCAGCACAAAAAAATTGTAGCAAGGAAATATTGGGTGTGGCCGTTTTGTCCGAAACATGCAAGGGCGCAGTTAAGGTTTTTACTGACCCAATGATTTAGATCATCAATATGAACTGTTTACGTGAATATGAACCATATTGGTAATCCCTGGGCTACAAGTTCACCGCGGACGCTAGCATGGCATGACCGAATTTGGACAGACCACTTGCCGTTCACCAAAAGCTGTAGTAATAAAACAATCATTCAGTGAACTTTAGTGCTTTAATTTTAGATTATGTGGGCTCGGACGAGGAAAGGTTTAAATATGAAAGCAGCGTAAAATTGTTGGCGCCGGCGTTTTCTACACTGGTAGCAGCGAAGGAATGCAGGCATCCATCTTTAACAAAGTCTATTTCACGAACCCAGGAGCCACGAAGGCGACAAAGATGAATGATGGTTCCGAACAACCAGCGCTGCCGAACAGCAATCGAAACTGCAGACCAGCATTTGCCCTGCTGGGCCGCGCTGGTTGGGCAAGGATACAGCCAGGTAGCCGCAAAATAATCTCAAAGACCCATTACTTTATAACCTCAAGGACCTCCTAGCTAGCTAGATTCTAGCCAGGTTTGCTACGGGATGAATCTGTGCGTGCGGACGTGGCGAGCACCTACAACAAGCCCCCGTAACGTTGCTTTTTTAGCTACATGGTTGTTACATACGAGCATGCTCAGACGACATCATTCAGACGACATCATGAGATACGAGATTTCACATCAGGGCATCGGGCCCTAAGAGACAAGTCGGGTGTCGGCTTCCTCGAAGCCGGATAAAGGGCGGGGGGCCCCTGCATCCGGACAGGGCGGTAGGTAGGGTAGTGCCAACGTGGTGAGAGCTGTGCTTGTTGCAGCAGTGCTGATGCGGTGGGAGCTATGCTTGTCAGAGCGCGGGAGGCAGGACGCTGGGGCTCATAACCTTTTGAAGAGACGGTGTCTCCCTGGAACCTAGCAGACATGGCGAAGAGTCATTGGCTGTTACACGTAGTCGGGAGGTCCACGACCTGCCACCGACAGCCCCTTTCTTGGGCGTAAATGTATGAGCCTGAGGTGCCGTTACCGGCACACAGCAGGGGCCGCCAAGTCCGCGGTCCAGGCCGGATGGTCAACGCTCAGCAGACACAACCGCAGCTTGCCAACCGCCTTTTGGCTCTGCGGTCTGGTGCCATAACACACACGGAAAACAGCGCCGTACAGCACCGTACGCACTGCCTACGGCGCCCCTTCAGGCATTGACCCGCCTTCACGCGCCCTTGGCGCCCCCTCAAAGCCTAGCTCGATACACTTCCCCAAAGCCCGCAGCACTTTCATGTTTATTTCCGAGCGGCTTCAGCAATCCGCCCCACAGCCGCCGCGACACACTGCCATGGGCCAAGGTAATTGTACAAACGAACATGCGTACTTCGTAGAGAAATAAAAGCAAATTTGTCGGCCTGCTGGTGGCAAGTCGGAATGCCCTTGCGGGCAAATGGTAACACAAGCTGGGTATTCGAGTTATCATACGCCGTAATCTCAGATATGGATTATGAGATACGCGGTACCTTTTGAGATTAAAATTAGCCCGAGAGGTGTTGATGTGACTTTGAGTTCGGTCAATGGAGGCAGCCGCTCTTGTTTATGCTCATACGATGTTTATTGGCAACAGGCGAGATACCTGGCAATAGAGGATGCTATATAGCACCAATAACGCGTTTCAGCCGGGCGAGGTATTATGCTTGGTCCGTTACACACACACGTCCTGGGTGTTCAAGTTATCATACGCCGTCACCTCAGAATTCAATTATGAGAAACCCGGTACCTTTTGAGATTAAATTTAGCACGAGAGGCGTTGATGTGACTTTGGCCTCGGTCAATGGAGGCAGCCAAACTTGTTTGTGCTCATACGATTTTAGTTGGCTACAGGCGAGATACCTTGCAATAGAGAATGGTATATATTACCAATAACGCTTGCACATCGCCAGAAGCGCATAAGGCGCCAACACCAGAAACATCTGCAACTCTTGGTAAATGCACTGTACAACCTTCGGAAAGAAAAGTGAAATGCAAACTGATTCCGATCCGGTCCTCTCAAGCCTGAACTGAAGATGCAAGGAAAACTAGCCCATCCTGCTCGTTGCGGCCCTGCCCCCACACTTGGGAAAGAATGAACAGCACAAGTAAATGAGTTTCCAGTGTGCAAAGCTGCAGCAAACAATTTACGGAGAATCAAACGTTCCCGTGCCATTAAATGTCGTGCCACAACTAGTACTGATTCTCTTAACTTCTTCAGCTACCGCTGCGCTTGTTGAAGCTCCTGCCGCCAGCCGAAGCGTGACCCGTAAAACGTTGCAAGGTCGCGGACCTCAGATTCCTCAACAGCCCTGTCGTACAACAGTACGACAGCAACGTCACCGGCAAACGACTTGAGCCCGCTCGGCGGCAGGAGGACGCCGCAGGGGCCCTGACGAAGCCGTTGAGAGCTCATAAGGCCCGCCTGGCTGTACGAAAGTACTTTTGCGTTACGACGCCGGTGGCCTCATCAGTGCTCTTGGAAAGGGCCTCCATCGTCCACTGCTTGCTTGGAAGTGGGGGCAGGCCGCGGCCGGAGGAGGCAGCAGAAGCGTTGTCCTCCACCGCGCATTGCAGCATGCCTTCAAAGCTAAAGGCCTTGGGCCTGGCATCCTCCGCTTGCATCATGACCCACACGGCCGTGAAGTCCGGGCTCCAAAACGCCGCCTCCCAGGCAGGCTCCAGGCTAAGGTAATCGTCCAGGGTCACAGTGCAGGAGGTGCCGTCGAAAGAGACGGCGGCGGGAGCTCCTCCTTGCCGCAGCAGCCTGCAGCGGCCCTCGAGCTGCATGGTGTTGCAGGGCCGGCGCGAGGCAAACACATCAGCCCAGGTGGCGGCAATCTGGGCCTCCTCGTCTCCATTACGCACCGTCACGCCCGACTCCGCGTCAAAATAGGCGACCCCGGGAAGCAGCTCGGGGGGAAGCAGCCAGGGAGCAACTGTTGGGGCATGTGCGTGAGGGGGGGAAAGACATGCTGTGGACATGATATTGGTTTCCGTGTCATGGGTCAGTCCGAGAGTTAGAAGCAGGAAGGACGGAATGTGGAATGAAGTGCTTGACCTATATATGTCTGTATGAATATATGGCTTATGTGTCCCAATGACTTAATGTGCGAATGAAAATCCATAAGCCCCATCAAATCAGGGAACACGCTGCGCGAGGTGATGGAGGCACGCCCAGCCCGGGTCGCTAAATTAGGCGTCCAGAACCTTCTTGTTGGTCGGGAAGCTACAGCGGGTTAGCCACAGCGCGTTAGGTCGCACACCTGAAGACGCCTCCTCTAGTAAGGCAGCTTCGTACAAGGCCGCCGCCGCCGCATCCATTAGGTATGTAACCTCCGTTGTCACAGCGTCCGTGCCATCCAGATCTGCTTTCAGGACATGTCTGGCTTGGTCTGTGGCATTCGATTGACAACAAGGGAAGAGGTGCGTTGACAAAAGGATTTTTTGGGTCTCGCAATAGGATAGGCCATCCTTCGCTCTTAGAATATTGGAAAACGTTTAAAACGTGCGGTTTAACTGTAAAAAAACCTTAACCGTTTCCTCAAAACCCTTTTCGGAAATACGCAGCGACCAATAGCGGTAGTCGGCGCAGGACGACGCTCGCTTGGACTCCAGCTATTCACCTTTGTAGTGAATAGGGATGCGTGCAGACGCCACAAAAGAAATGAAAGTCCCTAGGATGAACAACAAGAGCGGAAGGGCGGCGTATGGCTGCATCTTATGTAGATAGGGGTTGGAGGTAGGACCACGAGCGACTTTGTCTCCTTTGGTTCCTTGTCTTGTGTCCTCTACTCTTCTACGCTTGCAATGAGCGTGATAAACAGGACGGACTTTGAGCGAGGCCGAATTTCAAGTTTCAAAACTGTAACAGGTGGTATTGAGACCTGGGTTTTGGCCAATTAAATAGCATCGCTGGGAAGGTTTTTATTTGTCCTAGCCCGTCATTCGTACCCTTCAACATGACAAAGATTGTGTAACATGTTGACTTATGGCTCATGGTTCATGTTAGGTCCAAAACATTTTCCATGTCACATTCCGTGCAGCAGCAGCATATAGCTCAGGACTCGAATAGGACTAAGTGTTATATTACAGTATTACATGGTGAAACAGATCCTCCGTTTCTGGAACCGCCTTCAAAAGCAAGTGGGGTCCATTGCTCATGCAGTTTTACGGCAGGAGATAACCGATGCCCTGACCAACCCGGAATGAGAGGGTTGGGGAACCTCAATGTTACGACTAATTTCCTTCTTGGCGTGCAATATTTGGAGCGGAATACCGCAAGAAGTCATGGGGGTAAGGGTGCATTTCCAGTGCGGATTAAGGCCAGGGATTAGGGCACGGAAGTCCTTGGTACGAGCTTACCACATAGTTTTGTTCCATAAGGGAACCAAAGGTTGAAAAGGCGAGGTAAGTTTGCCAACAACTTAGCCGTTTGAGCAAGTATCGATGGAGGACAGAGGGTTAATCCCTGGCCTTAA